TAGTCCCAGGAAGCAACTTCATACAAAACCTGCTTCACGAGGCCAGCCTGGTCTACAGAGTGAGATCCAGAAAAGGCACAAAGCTACACAGAGAAACCCTGTCTCGGAAAAAAAAAAAAAAAAAAGATTACATTAAAAAAAAAAAACCTGCTTCACCTGTGGTCCAAGTGTGTTAGTGACCATCCCAATTAAGAAGTCAAATTTTGCATAATCATCTATCATGTGCTGGTCCTGGAAACAAGAAAGAATCAAAATTTAAGGGCATGGATTCTTAGTCATAGAGTAACAGTTTACAGTTCAGCATTGTTACAGGCATCTCTGTTTGGCAGAGTCAGAAACCCAGTGAGGAGACTGTGAGAATGTTCATTCCATAAAGCTCTGGGGATTAATCTGGTATTATGGGTTGTTCTTTTTTTTTTTTACTCTTTTGTGGGCCTGCAACCCAGCTCCCAAATAAATTACTTACATGGATGCTTATTCTTTCTTATAAATGCACAGTCTTAGCTTGGCTTGTTTCTAGCCAGCTTTTCTTAAATTATCCCATCTACTTTTGGCTTCTGGGATTTTATCTTTTCCTGTTCTGTGTACCTCTCTTTACTTTTTACTCCACGGCTTGCTGAGTAGCTGGTTGGCTAGCCCCTGGTATTCTCTCCCTCTTTTGACCCTCCTTCCTTTTTTCCCTCCCAGATTTATCCTCCCACATAATTCTGTCTGCTAGCCCCAGCTATCCTTTCCTGCCAAGCTATTGGCTGTTTATTATTAACAATTGGGCATTTTAGACAAGCAAAGTATCACAGCTTCACAGAGTTAGACAAATGTAACATAAAAAAGTAACACATCTTTGCATCATTAAAACATATGATCCACAGCATAAACAAGTAATCTTAAACTATTTCACAATATTTCCCCATTTTTGTCTAAACAAAAATGAAAGGTTTTAACTTTGACATAGTAAAACTATATATAAAAATATTATCAAATAAGAATTACAATTACAACATTCTGTTCATTTTTATTTTTTTATTTTTTATTTTTTTGGTTTTTCGAGACAGGGTTTCTCTGTGTAGCTTTGCGCCTTTCCTGGAACTCACTTGGTAGCCCAGGCTGGCCTCGAACTCACAGAGATCCACCTGGCTCTGCCTCCCAAGTGCTGGGATTAAAGGCGTGCGCCGCCGCCGCCGCCGCCACCACCACCACCACCACCACCACCACCACCACCTCCCGGCACAGTTCATTTTTATTAAGAAAATTCATAGGAAACACTTCATCAACAATCTGATCTTAGTGACTCTAAAGTTTAATACTTAATTTACTTTCATAACAATGTGAATCTGAAATTCTAATTATTTAGTCTTTAACTCCATCAACGATTGCAGATGGGATTAATATTATATAACAATAGAGGCATCTGCCCAGAGAGTCACCCAAAGTTTCTCTGCAACATGGCCATTTTCAGCCTACAAGTCCAGATTATCTCGCAGACGTTTTAGTAAAGCTGGAAATTTAAAGAATTGTCCTGCCTTGTATTGGGAAAGTTCAGCAGTCCTTTCCTTTTCCAGTCCTTTTCCTACGGCTGCTGAATGTCCAGTCTGCACAGCACACTGTCAAGCAGTTAAGGCTTAAGCAGTTTCTTGCCCAAATGGCTAACCTTGCCACAATGAAAGCAAACCTCTATGGAGTTTCTTCGATGCCCATCATCCTTTTATGAAGTAAAGTGGTCCTGCCAGGAGCAGATGTGTCTCATTGTCATAAAAAACTGTTAACAAAACATTTTAAGTGCCATATTCTTTAGGTCTTTGAAGTGATTGAAGACCATTTATCTATCTGAAATATACCTATTTAACCTTGAAAAATAACTAACATGACTACAAATTTAATTATTATAGATTAGCTACTAATCTCATTTCTTAATTATACATTGCATTTTTAACTGAGCTGCATAAGCTTCAAACAGTACTCCAAACTAGAAATATACATAAAGTATAACAAAATTAAGTTTAAATTTGTATGGATATACCAATGCAAGATTTCTGAGGTCAATAGTTGTTTTTTTAAATCTTATCTTCCCATATTCCCCTAAATGATAACACATGTCCATAACTCCCACACCTCTTTTGAGAATGTGGGCATCATGCTCTCCAAACTGCTGCCTCTTGTCGTTAGTGTCCCAGAAAGAAAATTTGAGATAATGGCCAAATCCTGGGAAGACCAGCTATAATCTCGGTTGGTAGAGATCACTGGTTAAGATTCTGGAGGTCTCCCCTGATCAAATCTGATGCATATCAACCTGGAAAGAATCCACAGCATCTTCTTTCCTGTGATAATAAACAAAGCAAAAAACTGTTCTTCTGAGCATTTTTGATTTTTCACTTGCCAGTTATATTTTTTGAGTTCCATTTTAAAGTTAAGATAGCCCTAAAGAATCTAGGTTGGTTCAATTTTGCAATCCTGTTCACAATCCCATGTCAGTCACCAGTTGTTTGCTCATCAGCATTCAAAAACTTCAAGCCGGGCGGTGGTGGCACACGCCTTTAATCCCAGCACTCGGGAGGCAGAGGCAGGTGGATCTCTGTGAGTTCGAGGCCAGCCTGGGCTATCAAGTGAGTTCCAGGAAAGGTGCAAAGCTACACAGAGAAACCCTATCTCAAAAAACCAAAAAAAAAAAAAAAAAAAAAAAAAAAAAAATTCAAAATCAACACAATTGTATATAAGATCCAGACTCCCTGTGTATTTCCCATCTTTATGTGCATTTTCTTTATATTGCTTTTAGTGTCCCTTTAAACTGTCTCTTTTACTTTATTTTTTAAATCTATTTACTTCTCTCTATGACTATCTCTATTCATTTTCTTTTCTTTATTAAGCTTATACACATTATAAAAAACACACTGCAACCTGTTTACAGGTTGTGGGTTTTTGTTTTGTTTTTTCTTGTTTGTTTGTTTGTTTTTTTACTGCATGTCATTTAGGCTTTTTTAACCATGTGAGCAGACTAGCTCTGCCTCTGGCTTCTGTGGCTAGCTCTGCCCATTTCCCAAGTCATGAAAGCCAAGCCTAAAATTTTTTTTAATGTACCGACTGCCCAAGGGCTTGCTGTAAGACAGAAACTCCTAAAGGAGTCTTGAAACTTGAGCCTCACTTTGGTAGGCCAAAATGTTGTTGATTGTTATCATTCTCAGCTTTTTTGGTGTTTAATATTTTGGAGGGCCCATCACCCAGCTCCCGACAACTACACAGCATTTTTTTTATTATTATGAATGTCCAGCCTTAGCTTGGCTTGTTTCTAACCAGTTTTGTTTAACTTAAACTATCCAATCTACCTTTTGCCTCTGGGCTTGTATCTTTCTCTACTCTGTATACCATCCTTTACTACTTAGTCCATAGCTTGCTGTGTAGTGGGGTCTCTAGACACTGGTGTCCCCTCCTTTTCTTTTTTTTTCCCCCGAGAGAGGGTTTCTCTGTGTAGCTTTGCACTTTTCCTGGATCTCACTCTGTAGATCAGGCTGGCCTCGAACTCAGAGATCCGCCTGCCTCTGCCTCCTGAGTGCTAGGATTAAAGGCATGTGTGCCACCACCGCCCAGCTCTCTCCTTTTCTTGCTCTCAGTTCTTTCTACCTTTTTTCTTTTTCTCCCCCCCCCCCAGGGTTTCTCTGTGTAGCTTTGCGCCTTTCCTGGAACTCACTTTGGGGACCAGGCAGGCCTCAAACTCACAGAGATCCACCTGCCTCTGCCTCCTGTGTGCTGGGATTAAAGTTGTGCACCGCCACCACCCGCCCATTTTTTTGTTTTTGTTTTTCTGAGACAGGGTTTCTCCGTGTAGCTTTGTGCCTTTCCTGGATCTCGCTCTGTAGACCAGGCTGGCCTTGAACTCACAAAGATTTGCCTGCCTCTGCCTCCCGAGTGCTGGGATTAAAGGCGTGTGTCACCATCACCCAGCATTTCTACCTTTTTTCTTTGTTTGACTAATTTGTGCATGGGAAACAACATCATAATGTCTACTTCTGTGTGTCCTGGAAGCAATTGCATAGAGTAGGCTGGCAGTTTACAAGAAGCACACATGCCTGCTTCTGCCTTTTGAGTGCTGGGGTTAAAGGTACGAGCCAATGTACCCACCTTGCCCATCTTAGTCATGTAACATGAATCTTCAATGGTCTAATTAATAAAAAACAAACCCACAGCCAGGTATTGAGGTGAACACTGAAAGATCAGAGAGAAGCAGAACCAGCCACTGCTTAACCTCACCTCGCCAACAACTTAGCCAATCTTGTTTCCTCAAACTGGAAGCCTCTGAGTCTTCATCCAAATGGATCACAGCTGAACTGCTGCTAGAAGCTTAAGAGCCTCTAGTTCCTGGTCCTCATGCCTTATGTACCTTTCTGCTTTCTGTCATCACTTCCTGGGATTAGAAGCATGTGTCTTTCCCAAGCAAAGACATGAGATCTCAAGTGCTGGGATTAAGGCGTGTGTGTCACTGTTTCTGTTTCCAGTGTGGCCTTGCACTCACAGAGATCCAGATGGAGTTTTGCATTCCAAGTGATAGGAATAAAGGCCAGTGTACCACTATTTTCTGGCCTCTATGTCTAATCTAGTGGCTGTTCTGTTCTCTGACCCTCAGATAAGTTTATTAGGGTACACAATAAATCAATCACAAGGTTTCTTTTTTGTAGTTAGTAATCATTCATACAATTTCTCTCATTGTTTCCCACTGTTGATTTGGTTACTTGTCTCTCTATGTTTGTTAACAGGCATTTCTCTTGTAAGGTGATATGCCATTCATAGGATATGGAAATTGCAGAGGTGAACCTCCTATTCAGTTTCCTTTTTGAGTGACTTGTTGATTACATTATATATTACATAAAAGTGCATATATATATATGTATATGTATATCATGGAATGAGTGTGGGGAGCACAAGAATTATATGACTGTGTTGTTAAAGAAGTATACATTTGCAATGTCATTAGTATCATACTTTCTGTTGTACATGTGTATGGGATATTTTAGAATACAGTGACCTATGATGATGTGCATGTTGACTTCACTTGCGAAGAGTGGACTTTACTGGATCCTTCCCAAAAGATTCTTTACAAAGATGTGATGCTGGAGACCTACAGGAACCTCACTGCTATAGGTAAGACTGAGTTTTCCTTTATGTTTAAAATAAGGAGAGAAATGTTCCTTGGTTAGTGATGCTCTTCTGTTGTTTGATTGAGAAAGAAGAAGATTGAGGTGAATAATTCAGGCATGGTTCTCAGGTTCACTGAAGATATTAAGTTAAATTTTGTCCAATTTTCAATAATATACCATATATTTTCTGGTACTACATTTTAGGATACAGTTGGGAAGACCATAATGTTGAAGAACACCATCAAAGTTCTAGAAGGCATGAAAGGTAATTTGCATATGCAAGCTGATACAAATATGCCTCTGAAGAAACTGTAATATGTTGTGGAAGTTTTAAGCAAAAGCAGCAGTGTAAATAAGCACAGCTTAAAGTGCATGAATGACTATTAAATTCTCCCAAAGCCATATACCTCAATTTCAGGAAGGTGAATTGCATTTGCAAGACAGTCCTTTAAGAAAGAACACAAAAAACAATGCCTTAATAGATATCACCATTTGAGTCATTGTACCATGAGAGCTATGCTGTAGAAACTGCCAATCCATTTATTTCATACTACTCATATTATAAAAGGTAGACACATTGAAGAGGTCATTAGTATATTTCCAAAACCCTCTAATAAGCAAATAGTGCATAGTAAAGCTAGTGTTACTCATGAATTTGTTACTACAAAGTTTAGTGAGAGGCGCACTGAGAGTCAAGAGTCAAGGGGCAATTGTGGGAGAGAAACATTAATCCCTATATCTGTTCCTATGTCTATGAGGAACAGAAAGTCACACTCTGTGAATTCAATGTGGAAACACTTTTAGTTGTTATTCTTCCTTTACTAGGAATGTCATTTGTCACTCTAGATACAAGACATATGAGCACAGGGTTAAGGAGAGACGTAACATACTTTTCTCTCAGAACAATTAGAAGATATGTAGGAGTGCCCATGTTGAGTATACTTGTTGAATTTGATTCAAGTATACAAGTAATTGGTTTTCCAGCTTTATTGTTAATACATCAAAAAAGTGACAACTGCAAAAAAGCCCTGTGAGTATTAGGACTTTGTAAACACTTCTCTGCCCTATTTTACTTAGCACATTTAGTATGATTCGCTGTTAAAGAAAAATTTATGATTGTAGGAAACATGGTAAAGCTCTGAGGTTTTCCAGTTCTCTTGATATATATATGAAAAATCATATAGAAAACAGATTCTGTATATGTGAACCTTGTAAGAAAGGATCTTAACATCATAGGTATCTTCAAAGATGCAAAACAACCCTTCATGAAAGGAAAAAACATGAGTGCAAACTCTGTGATTAAAACGTTATGGTGTGATTCCTCTTTACAATTGGACCAAACTGCAAAATCACTTCACAGAGATGTAAAGATTTAATAGTGTACTGAATGTGCTAATGCTTTTACATGTGCTAATTTTCTTTGCAGGCATAAAAGAAGTCATACTAGAGAGAAACCTTCTCAATATACTCAATGTGTTAAAGTCTTTGCATTCGACAGTCATCTTCAAAAGCACGGAAGAACACATACTGTAGAGAAACCCTATGAATGTAATCAGTGTGCTAAAGCCTTTGTATGTTCCAGTAGTCTTCAAAGACATAAAAGAACCCATACTGGAGAGAAACCCTATAACTGTAATCAATGTGGTAAAACCTATGGACAACAGGGTCATCTTCAAATACATAAAAGAACACATACTGGAGAGAAACCCTATGAATGTAATCATTG